TTCTCAATCCACAGCTTACCTCGGCCACCTGCTCCAGGCTGTATCACAGAGCAGGGACCCAATGCTTCAGCTGGGCTGAGGATGGCAGGGTGGAGTGAGGCCAGCCTCCCCCCTGTTCTGGACACTGCTCTGGCTATTGCCACCTGAGATCCTCAGTCTAGCCCATGCCAGACGACCTGGCCATGTCTCCTCATACCCAAAGCCTGTATCCAGGGGGCGGGCTTGTTGCCCTGGGCAAAAGTCTAGCCTATCAGGAGCAGCGTAGCCCCGCCCAGCTTTCTGTCACCCACCCCACAAAACACATCTGTCTTCTCATCCTCGGCTGGGCTGATGGAATCCAAGAATAGGCTAGAATTGGGGACTGAGCCCTGAGGTTCCCCACTACAGACCTCTAGGGGATCCAGCAATTCAGCTCCTTTTTATAAGTCCCTATTGTGTGCCAGGCCTTGTGCTGGGAGCCAGAGATACAGAATGAGACATGGTCCTCCATGAGTTCCCAGCTGGCGGGTGGGCAGTGACAGAGTAGTCAGTCTCCTTTGGATCTGCTGAAGCCATAAAGGCCACCGCTTTCCCCACACCTGAGCACCTACCCACAGGTGACAGCATGCAGTGGGGAGGAGTGCAGGAGTGACTGTACTCAGCAAGCATCCCCTCACTCTGTGAACACTCCTTGAACACCTACTGGGTGCCAGGCCTCGTGCTGGGTCACTCACTCTGGGGACAAACACTCAGGCATGGTCCCAGGCTTCGAGGAACTCCCAGTCTGATGGGGGAGGCAGACGTTGAACCATTACAGCATAGGGGTCGTGGGGGCTCAAAGAAAGCCTTCACCTTGGCCTGCAAGGCTTCCTGACAGGCGGCCCACGTGAGCTGGATTCTAAAGGGCAAGTAGGACAGGCGTGCCGAGAGGGAAGAGCAGGAACAAAGGCCCCAGTGGGCAGCGATCCCTAAGGAGTTCTGCATCACTGGAGCATGCAGTGCTGAGGGTTGAGAACAAGCAGGAGAGGCCCGCAGGGCCTGAATGAGGCGAGGAACGTGCCCTGGATCCCAGGCCGTGTGCGGCCCTCTCCTCTCTGCAGCTTTCTTCCCTTGGTATCCGGGCACCTCACTCTCCTCACTGCCTCCTTTGCTAGTTCTTCCTGTTTCCCAGGGCCCAGTCCCTGGGCCCTTCTCCATTCACTCTCCAGATGATCTCAGTCTCGTGGCTTTCAAGAGCATCTGAAGGCCAACAACTCCCTAAGTATGTCTCTAGCCGAGACCTGCCTGCTTGACTTCTTTACCTGGATGTTGAACAAGCGTCACCTCAACCTGCTCTTCCCGCAGCCCCCTGACCTCAGTGACGGGCGTCGCCAGCCTCCCACAGCCGTTTTGTTCCCCGCTGTATCCCTAGTGTTAGGACGGTCCTGGCATGTAACAGGTGCCCCGTAAATATGTGAACGGATGGATGGAAGAGTTTAAGGATGCTCAGAAGTGAGTGAGTTAGATCTTTGTGGTATTGGAAGGGCTGAGATGGAGGCAGGAAACCAAGGTGGCAGCTGAATGTCCAGGTAACAGATGCCAAAGACGGGGGCTCCATAGACACCTGGGACTGGAGAGGAGAGTGCCAGCACGGGGCAGGATGGACCCTCTTTCAGCACCCCGTCGCTCGGTCTGGTCTTCTGTTCCCAGCGCTCCCGCCCAGCGAGCCCAGGGAAGCTCCAGCTCCACTGAATTCAGGGCAGAGCCCTCACAGAAGCCTGGATGTACTCTGGGCGCAGGCCCCTGGAGTCTGTGGAATCCTCAAGGGACAGCAGAGGCTGGGAGTCAGAGATTATCCAGGGTCACCGAGGGCATCAGGCTGAATGGCCCCAGCTGAGCCCAAACTGGAGTCCTGCTCTGGCTCTGTGCCTTGGTAGTTGCTGCCCCACCCCTTCCAAGCCCCCTCCACACACACCTGTCCCCTGCCCCAGGCAGGCCCTGCCGGCATCAGCTAGTTTGCCTCAAGGCTCTCCTTTTCTGGATCCAGGGAGCGGTGCCCAGCCAGGAAGGACAGGGCCCTCACTTTGACCCCCAGGCTGGCTGGCCTCCAGAATTAGGCACTTGTGGGTAGTGATGAGTAGTAGGAAAGCAGCTGCTGAGCTGGGGCCTTTGGCCTGGCTTGTCCACTCCTGCCCAAGTTTCAGTGATGGGCTAAAGCCCTCCCCTGTGAAAGCACAGGAATGACACCCACCTTTTGCCTCTCCGAGACCCTCATCCTGGCTGCAGAACCTGGATCTGGCCCGGCCCTGCTCTCAGTCAGGCCTGGACAGGGCAGGGTGGTGAAAACACTGCGGGGAACAGGAGCCTGTCCTCTCCTTAAAAAGACCTCTTGCTGAGAAGGCCGACCCCAAACCAGCCCTCATCAGGGCCATGTGTGTGGCAAAGGCAACTCTGGGGGTGCTGGGGGGAATCACAGGCTGAGGGGGTGTGTTAGGGTGCCCAGTGTTCGAACCCCGCCCCCAGCAGAGGTGGGCAGTGAGGCATACAGCAGGCTCTCATTACAGGCTGGGGGCCCTTTCCTTCCTCTCTGCAGGGGCCCCTGTGACCTGGGCTCCCTTCTCCAGGCCACTGCTCCCACCTGTGCCTGAGGCCTGCTCTGGGGAGCACAAGGGCAGCGAGGGTATGGAATGGGTGCTTCCCCGTCATCTCCACCTTCTTTGCTCAGCACTGGGGCTGGCACGTGGCAGATGCTCAGTGCTGGTGAACAAACACCTCTTCAGGACTGTCAGTGCAGGTCAGTAACAGCCTGCGTCTCCTCATCTGTCCAACAGTGATGTTTTCCCAGTAGTTCAAAGACGTCTGTGCTGAGGAAGAGCCTAGGAAGCCTTATTCCCCGATGAGGTCAGAAGGACAAATGGAATTTTGTAGGCCCTCCCAGCTACTCCTCATACCCATTTAGATGCTCCCCCAAATAGTAGTACCACCAACAGCTAACACTGCTGCTCTTAACTACTTAAAAGGCACTGTTCTAAACACTTTACAAATGTCAACTTATCCTCACAACCACCACATGATAGGTAAGCCATTATCCCCATTTTATAGATGAGGAAACTGAGGACAGAGGTTATGAACTAACTTGCTCAGGGCCACACAGATCCTGCAGGATCTGAAACTGGTCCCTTCAGACCTTCTAAAGGCGGGCTAAAGCCACACTTTGCTCAGACATCGTGTGTTTCCCTCCCCTCCTGCTGCGGGCCTGGCCCCAGAGCTCCAGGGAGGCAGAAAGTTCTACTTTCTAAATGTTCAAATCAGCATCCACAGCTGCTGACTTGGTGGGCTTGCAGTAGTTCTTGCCTAGGCAGCAGCTGGGACTGGGTCTCCCCGAATCTGTCCAGCCCCACCCAACCATCTTCCAGGATGCGGCCTGCACCGTTTTCAAACATTCAGGTCAAACTGTGCCACTCTTCAAATCTTTCAAGGGCTCCCTGTTGCCTTGGAGGCGAAAAAATAAAACTCAATGCCCCTGTGGCCCGGCACTCTAGGACCTGTGAAGCAAATTCCACCTGAAGGGAGAAAGCAGGGCATGGCTGCAGCCCATGGGGCCAGCCTAGCCGATGCTGACTCTCCACTGAAAACAGCACACCGGGAACCTTATCCAGAAAAATATACTCTGGCAAACCAAAATGCGTTTGTGAGATGAGAAACCGCAACTGCCTTTTAGAATGTCCCCGAATATTTGAAGTGAGACGATGTCGTCCCAACCATCTCCCCCAACTCTCCACAGAAGATTAACATGCCCAGGAAAAGAAGGCCGACTCCTGAAACAGCACAAACCAAAATCTTGCCCTGCACCAGGAACAAAAATTCTGCCCAACCAGTTGCCTGGCATTTTGTAATCAGTATAATGAACTCCAACCCATGTTCCCCCCCAAACATGTCAGGAAGGGCTGCGGAAAAAAGATGTCCCTTTAATAAAACGTTATCAACATATATCGTACACAAACTACAATGTATCATAATTACTTTTTTTTCCTCTCTTAATTCAGAACCAGACTACAAGGTAAGAAAAAACACAGAAACAGCTACAATGTTCCCAATAATCCGCACAAGGTCTTTTTTCAGGCAGATGATATCTCACATAATATGATATACATGGATCAGAAAGGGAGGGACGAAAACAAAGACCAGCTACCGGGGGTGGGGGTGGGGGGGACGGGTGTAAATGTACAAAGAATTCTGGTGTCTTCAGGGCAAGACACAGAGGTTTCTATGGGGGCGTGGTGAGGTGAGGGAGGAGGCCACAAGTCACCCCTCCTGGGAGGGGACAGGCTCCACTGTCGCATTTGTCGGTTTTTGAAAATAAAAACAGGACCGGAAACAGCACATCTGTTTGGTTGCTGGCGTCCCCCCTGCCCCCCACAGCTATTCCAAAGTCTCTCTGTCCAGTTCCAAGCGCACACAGAGCAATTCTGGTCAATATCCCATTTTTGAAAAAGAAGAATCAAGAGGGGAAAAAAAATGAAAACCCAAACTCCAGCCCTCCACTGCCCGCACACAGGAGGACGACGATTCGAGGAATGAGAACGCGGAGGTCACAGTTTCCATGTCCCAGGTCATAGCCATCCTGTCGGGGCGGCCTCCCCCATTCCGCTCCAGGCCACCACCCCGCTGGCAGGATTCTCACTGGGAAGACTGGGGTGGGGGCTGAGGAGGGGGCTGGAGGGCGGGACGCTGGGCGGGGAGAGGTCCAGAAAAGAGAGGAAGCAGTCCTGGGAACACAGTGCATGCCACTGGGTCACAGCACCGCTCCGCTGGGGCCGGATCCTGAAAGCGGTCGGTGGTCTGGCCCCTCCGGCCATGTAACGGGGGAAGGGGTCTGGGGTCGAAGCTGTGCAGCTGCTATCGCCACCTCGCCAGGAGACCAAGCAGAAACAAGACAGGTTCCTGCCCTTCCCTTGCCCGTCAGCACAAACCAAAAACCCCAAGTGGAAAAGGGTGACTCCTTTTTTCTTTCCCAAAAAGGCCGTTTGAAAGAAACCACCGATTGTAAACTGCCGAGTTTATTATAATTATTATTATTATTTTTAGATGGCTACAAAGACAGGTGAGATCTCACACCTAGACTAGCTTTCCTGGTGGAAGGGCTTGGGTACAGACAGACAACAGGGCTTGGGTTTTTGTTTTTTGTTTTTCGTTTTTTGCTTTTTTTTTTTCTTTTTTTTTTTTTTTTTAAAGAAGAAAGCAAAGAGGTTGATTGGGGTGGGGGGGGGCTTGCTAGAAGCTTCCATTTAAAAAAATTTTTCCCCCCTAAAACCCCCCTGAAAACAAATTTTAAAAAATCCCAACAACGGTAAAACCCCCAACAAAAAACAACAAAAATGTGTCATGTACATAAAAGGTCCTTTTGGGAAAGGGCAAAGGGTGGGATTTTTCTGGTCATTGACTTGAAATGTATTTTTGAGTTTTGTCCTTCATGTTTTATGGAATAAAAAGTTCGGCCTTTTTATTGCATGAAACTAAAATTGAGAAAGGTTGGGGGAGGGGAGGGGGAGGGTTGAGGGGGGAGCAGGAGATGCCCCTCCCCCAGCTCCTGGGTAATGACACCTCACTTCTTGCATAATTTCTGGCACCTTCCCGCCTGCAATGCCGGCTCTCTCAGCGTCTCAGAGAAGAGGAGGGGGGATCACACACTCATCGTCATGCTTGGAGAATACTGGAAGGGGAGAAGCAGAGAAGGGGGGTCATGAAGGCCAGGGTGTGGGAGAGCCCTGTGAAGGTCTGACTGCACAGAGCTGGACTGGGTCTGTCTGGGGGTGGCTGGGCTGAGACACCCACGATGGCACTGGGTGCGCAGGGGGCCAGCAGGCAGGACTTAGGAGCCACCTCTTGGCACTAGCCTGTGTCCCTGACTCCTCTCCCCTGGCCCCTTTCCCTCTCCACATCACCCCTTCTTTCCAAGCAAAGCAGCAGCAGCCCCTGCCCTCCCTTGATGGGGCCACAGACTGCAGAGAACCGGGGTCTGACGAGCCGGAGCACAGACAGGGTGCCCTGGGGTGGGAGCCGGCCTGGGGTTCTCAAAAGCTGCTTAACCATGACATCGTTTCTTCAGATGACGCTGTAAATAGAGGCCCAATGTGAAAAAGGAGACGGCCAGCTCCTCTGCACCGAGACCCCCGGAAGTCACTGGTTGCGTGAAACTCCTTCCCCAGGACAGGAGGAAATAAGACTGGGACAGAGACCCAGTGGGCCAGAGCCCAGGGCTCGTCCAGCCACGTCAGCTTCTTCATTGCTGGAGGCGCTGCGCCTCCATGCGGATGCTTCGGGAAGGTCAGATTCAGGTAGCAGGGGTCAGCGCCACGCAGTGGGGGAGGGGGGGTGGGGGAGGTGAGGGCTCTGCACTTTGTGTGGAAGAATAACCGAGGTGAAAGGCCCACGACACAGCTGCCAGGACACTGGCCCAGCAGGCAGGCCTTGGTCAGGAGACTGAAACTTAAATCAACAGTCCCCAGGCGCCAGGGGATATGATGAGGACCCAGGGGTGAAATGAGGCTGCTGGCAGGCACACTTACATTGTCGTTCTGGAAGGAGTGGAGGAAGTTCCCTCCTAGCTCACCATCGTCTCGAGGGGTGCCTGGAGGATTGCTAATGCCACTTATGTTGTTAGGAGAATTCTGCAGAGAGAGCAGAGGAGGTAAGCCCCCGTGCCCCCAGCAACCTGCCCCCCAGATGGGGGAAAGGCTTCCTGGGTGGTGCTGTCAGGGAGGAGACATGGAAGACACACTCACTTTTGGAAGTCCATCTATGTCACCTGACCCTGAAAGGAAAAATGAATCCAGTTCAGTTTCTTGCCCACCCTTCTGTGCAGGGGCCTCCAAACCCTTCCACCCAAAAGCCCAAACGTCTCTGCAAAGAGGATCTTCTACTTAGGCAACATCTTCCTCTTGGGATCTTCCTGTGGGGACCTGGCCTAGGGGAGCCAGGAGCCAAGGTAGAGAAGGCTTCCCGGGAGGGTCAGGCAGGGGGCAGCAGGATGAGGTCAGGGCGCTGACTCACCTAATGAGCCGTTCATGTGGTGTGGCTCCATGCCACCCATGCCCCCCATCGGGCCGTCCGAGCCTGGACCCATCGGGAACTGTGGGAGAAGCACAGAGCGTGGCAGCTGAGTGGGCCCTCGGCTCGGCCGCAACCCTCGCAGGGCTCCCATGCCCAGCTGCATCCCCGGGGAGCTTCCATTCTGGGGGGGCCACTCTCTCACACTCAGGCATTTAATTTAACACCAGGAGGCCGGAGCTGGTGCCTCCCCTCGGCCCTAGGAATTGTGCAAGGCAGAGGCGCTCACTCCTGTGCACCACGGAAGGAAACCAACCCAGAGAGAGAGAGGGACTGGCCCAAGGCCACCCAGAGACAGCTCTCAAACCAGGCCTGCTGGATCCCATCCCAGGCTCTTTCCATCCCTGGGGCAGCGTGCGGGGCTCGCCAGTGAGAACCTCACACAGGCGGAGTGACCAACTGCCAGGCCAGAAAGCAAAAACATTAGTGCTTTTCCTCCCCATTTTACAGATGAGGAGACTGAAGCACAGAGTGGACCATGCTTTGCCCACGATCTCCCAGGTAGGAGAGATGGAGAAGCTGGGGCTGGGCCGTGGGCAGCCTGGCCCTGGAACCATCACACTAGCCTCCTCCAGGCTCTTCCTCAGAAACATGTGGGGAGCTGAGGCATGGGTGGCAGGACTTCTCTCGCTGGGACTGTGTGGGGGAGCTCACTAATGAGCAGAACTGACGGTGCAGACAGACCAGACACCAGACGTGTAATCTGCTCTACCCCCCTTCTCAAATCTGTCTGGAACTAACCCCCCCCCCCATCTCAGCAAAGCAGCAACTAAAGGCCAGAGGTCACATCGCATGGCCACCAAGGGATGGCTGAGCCCAGTCTGGAGAGCCAAGGCCCAGGGATACAGACTGGATGCCAGGGTGGACAGGGGACGAAGTGGCAGAATGGAGGCCTGTGCCGGGCACTAAGGACACAGAGCTGAGTCACACCTGGGCCTCAGTCTGAAGGAGGAGCACAGCCACGGACACCTAACTTCCCCACAGGATGCTGAGATCCAAAGAGAGCTGCAGACAAAGCACGGCTGCAACTTCAGAAAGAGGCACTGAGGAAAGGGCAGAGAAGTCAGAACAGGCTGCATGGAGGAGGAGGCAGAACGCCAAAATAATTGAGGGATAGAATCTGGGCAGGCAGAGATGGACCATGGCCTTGTTCTCAGCAGGGGTCCTGCCTGAGCAGAAGAGGCCTCCTAGCAGGTGCCAGCATGGAGTGGCTGGAGCAGGAACTGCTGTGACAAGACTGCAGGGGAGGGGCTGGGGCACCAGCCGCTTCCTCACCCCGCCTCCCACTCACACACCCCGTGGGTGCAGGATCCTTGCCTCCCCAGTGGCCTCCCAGGGCCAGTCGCAGGCTTTGGGGCACATTTTGCCATCTGGCAACCAATTTCATGCTTATGAACCCAAGTGATAGGAGAATGAGGGTGACCAACTTTTTAAGGAGCCAAACCCAGACACAGTCACACCAGAGCAAAAGAATCCCAAAATGTGACAATAAACAATTATGCACATGTGTTATTACTGTAACATACATATATTTAAAAAACAGGTATCTTAAATAACATATTATGTGTATTTTTGTTATTCTTTTTAACAGCTTAAGATATAATTCACATACCATACAAGTGACCCATTTAACGTATGCAATTCAGTGGTTGTTAGTGTATTTATAGAGTTGTGCAACCACCACCACCATCAATTTTACGACGTTTTCATCACCTGCATCCATTAGCAGTCACTCCCCATCCCCACCGCCCTTGAAACCCCAGGCCCACTCAACCATTAATTTATTCTCTGTCTCTACAGATCTAGCTATTCTAGACACTTCATACAAACAGAATTATATGTGACCCTTGTGGCTGGCTTCTTTCGCTTAGCAAAATGTCTTCAAGTTTCATCCATGTTGTTGCATGTATCATGTACTTCATTCCTTCTTACGGCCAAGTAACATTCCACTGTATGTATATACCACGCATTCATCAGTCAATGGGCAGTTGGGTTGTTTCCACTTTTTGGCTATTATGACTAATGCTCCTGTGAACATCTGTGTACAATTATCGTGTGGACATGCTTTCATTTCTCTGGGGTAGCTACCTATGAGTGGAATTGCAGGGTCACAGGGTAACTGTTTAACCTTTCGAAGAACTGCCAGACTGTTTTCCACAGCATCTGCACCACTTCACGTTCCACGTTCCCACCAGCTATGTGTGAGGGTTCCAATTTCTTCCCATCCTCGCCAACACTGCTCATTACGTCTTTCTGATTCTAGCCATCCTAGTGGGTGTGAAGTGATAGCTCATTGTAGTTTTCATTTGCTTTTCCCTAATAACTGACACTGAGCATCTTTTCATGTGCTTATTGGCTATTTGTACATCTTTGGAGAAATGTCCATTCAGATCCTTGGCCCATTTGCTTTTAAGTTTATTTTTTGGCTGCGTCAGGTCTTAGTTCCGGCATGTGGATCTTCCATCGTGGTGCGTGGGCTTCTCTCTAGTTGTGGTACACAGGCTCTTCTCTTGTTGTGGCACGTGGGTTTCTCTCTAGTTGTGGGGCGCAGGGTCCAGAGCGCGTGGGCTCTGTAGTCGTGGCATGCGGGCTCTGTAGTTGTGGTGTGTGGGCTTAGTTGCCTCGTGGCATGTGGGACCTTAGTTCCCCAACCAGGGATCAAACTGGCATCCCCTGCATTGCAAGTTGGATTCTTAACCACTGGACCACCAGAGAAGTCCCCTTGGGCCATTTTTAAGTTGGTTTGTTTTTTTATTATTGAGTTTTAAGAGTTCTTTACATATTCTGGATTCAAGTCCCTTACCAGACATATGACTTGCAAATATTTTCTATGGGTTGTCTTTTTACCTTCTTGACAGTGTCCTTTGAAGCACGAATTTTAAATTTTTTTTTTTTTTTTTTTGCGGTCCGCAGGCCTCTCACTGTTGTGGCCTCTCCCGTTGCGGAGCACAGGCTCCAGACGTGTAGGCTCAGCGGCCATGGCTCACGGGCCCAGCTGCTCCGCGGCATGTGGGATCTTCCTGGACTGGGGCACGAACCCGTGGCAGGCGGACTCTCAACCATTGCGCCACCAGGGAAGCCCCTCGAGTTTTAAATTTTAATGAAGTCTAGTGCAGCTACTTTTTTTGTCACTTGTGTTTTTGGTGTTGTAGGTAAGAAGGCTTTGCTAACCCAGGTCACAAAGATTTACTCCTACATTTTCTTCTAAGTGTTTGATAGTTTTAGCTCTGACATTTAGGCCTAGGGTCTACACTGAGTTAATTTTTGTGTATGTTGTAAGGACGCAGTCTAACTTCATTTGTCTGCACGTGGATATCCAGTTGTCCCAGCGCCACTTCTTTATTCTGTATTATTTACTTTTCTGTTACTTAAATGCTATTAATTAAAGAACAGCTGAACTAGTTAACAGGGGCAACAGTAGGACTAGTTAAACAAATGATGTGTGGAAAAAACACAACACTTTTATAATATTTCTGTCTTCTGACACAGTAAATTATTTTAACTCTTTACTGGATATTTAAATGTTGTAGGCTGTATTACTGTGTACTTATTGAACACACACGTTAAGATTTTTTCAAAAGAGAACCTAAATACAATAGGACTGATTAAACAGATACTACCTATATTTAGTTTCTAAAAACTGACATTTTTTTCTGTCCTGTATCACAATAGGATATTTTTGCTCTGCCTTTTTTTTTTTTTAAAGATTTTAAAAAAGGTTTTACGTACAAAAAGCTAGCATTGTTTCTTTCATTGGGTAGATGTCTTGGATAATCCATTCAAGGAAGTTCATTCAGTCCTATATCCTCTGTGTACTGACGGGAACACTGGTGGCACCTCCGGAGGCCACGTTTCTGGACCAGACCATGCCAATGTGAGAAGACATGGCCAAAGCAAGAGCCTGGCCGATTTTTTTTTTGTGGCGGGGGGTGGTGTCTATTAGAGCCGCTGGGGACCCGTGTTGCTTTCAGGGGTCCAACAGGGCAAATGGCACTTGCTTTTCCACTAATACTTCCCTGAACTGCCTGCAGGTTCTTGGGCATCCTTCTTTCCTTTCACGTAGTGGCAAAACTGAATACAGAGTCAAATGGAAAATGTACCGACGTGCCGCTCTGCTCTTATCAAGCCCTGGTGTCAGTCCAACGTGGTAACACCAGACTATCCTCTCCACAAAGACGTCTGCACGGACTTCCCTGGTGGCACAGTGGTTACGAATCCGCCTGCCAATGCAGGGGGCACGGGTTCAATCCCTCGCCCGGGAAGATCCCACATGCCGCGGAGCAACTAAGCCCGTGCGCCACAACTACCAAGCCTGCGCTCTAGAGCCCACGAGCCACAGCTACTGAAGCCCGCGCGCCTAGAGCCCATGCTGCGCAACAAGAGGAGCCACCGCAAGGAGAAGCCTGCGCACCACAACGAAGAGCAGCGCCCGCTTGCTCCAACTAGAGAAAGCCCGCGCGCAGCAACAAAGACCCAAAGCAGCCAAAAAAAAACCAAAACATACAAAAAAACACGTCTGCACATGGAGTGCTTAGGATTTTGCTTACGTGCTCAGGTTTTTGGATCTGTAGGAATCGCTTCCAGCTCTCCAAAGATGTCCAACCACTTTGTATCTACAAGCGGGTTTTGGAAGATCAGCTGCTTGTCAGGCCCTTTTCATGTAGGAGCTCATCAGATGGGCTATGCCTGCCTATGATGGCCATCATTTCTAAACATTCCGAGCACACTGGATATCATTATCGATTAAACCTCTCTTAGGGAAACTGGTTTTAAAGCACAAAGGTAATCTGAACTTGTGAGATCTAAGTTGGATTCTAAATAAGTTACAGTTTTTAATAAAAAAATTGGGAAAGTTCTAACTTGGCTGCCCTTACCGGTGACACTTCGAGTCCTCAAGCAGCCTCACTTCCAAAGGTAAGCCATTACTTCGGCTGTATGAGGCTTTATCACAACCCCCCACGAATCTGAACAGCTCAAGTGCCGTCCACTCAGCCTCATGTAGGCTCCTCATGGCCTCTTTAAAGATCATCAAACAGTTCTGGAGAAGCAGCAACTACATTTCTATTTTACTGTCATTCCTTTCTGCATTCTCATCTCATCGTATTTCCAAATCAGAGAAGAGCATCACAGCAGGCTGACATTTTAACATCTTCTCTGTGGCCAGCAACAGCCATCTGTGGGCGTGTGTCCAAGGCTCTCTGCATTTCTATAAACTCAAAAATCTCACTGAGCGCTTCTGCACGTTTTGAGCAAATTGACAAGTGACCAAAACGTTTCATTATGAAAGCTGGATTATCAAAGGTAAGCAAATCTCCCCCCTTGACAGCAGTGTCGGGGACAAGGTGTGTGGGGCATTTAGCAGGTAAGAAGTTTATAGACTAAATGGAACTTGCCAAATTAACTGCACTGTCTGCCAAATATGCAGATAAATGAGTGAAGTCTGGTTGCATTTGGACAAGGAGAATAACAATCTTTTATTTGTTTTCTGCAGTTTCATTAACATCTTCTTTGTAGAAATCAAGATTATGATTTGAAGCTCCAGTTTTCAAGTCAAAGTACCTAAAAGCTGGGGAGACTGTTTTGTTGCCACGGTGTGATGAACCATGTGATATGATGAAGGAAGCTCCCTGATTTTCTCGAAGATGCAATAGAATCAGCTGCACACTGTAAAGGACCAACAAACTTGTCATCAAAATTCCCCCTTCTGTTCACCCACAGGACTTAGTTGCAGCCTCTGAGTCAGGAAATGTAACCTTCTCAGTTCATGGACCAACATGGCGATGGTGTTCATTCAAGGGCCAACAGTGTTCATGCCCCGGCCAATGTGGCAGCCGCTGTTTTGCACTGAGCACTGGTGTCTCTTTGGAGGATGCACAAAACTTTTGATTGATTTAGAAGGATGTGCCTGTCTCGTCCTAGACTGTGCAGTTCTGTCTACAATGCGCTCTCCCACCCTTTTTCCACCCACATCCCTTCTCATCTTTTCGGCACACTTGCCGGTATGTTCTGGTTTGGTTATTTGCCTCCCTGACCCAGGTGTATGTGTCCTCACACCTGTCATTAAAATTCATTCAGCCCTTTTTTTTTTCCTTTGGAGGTGTCGGGGTCACGCTGGTGCTGGTGGTCTCATCGTTCTCATTTTCGTTATCTGTGCTCTTAGAAATCATGATCGTGATACTCACAATGTGAAAAATGAAAACTGCACTATCTTGACACAAACAGTTAAGCCGCAAGCAGAGTCAAAGGTGGACTCCACCAGGGCCCGGATGCAGCGCACTTGAGTCGTACCCCTCGGAATGATGAAACACAGATGATCCATCATTGAGAGCCACAGACCACGACTGCTGGCATCCGTGCTCAGGAAAATATGGTGACAGCAACCATGGGAAGTGGGGAGTCTATGCCACTTTCATGTACTCAGTCCTGTCTTTGGGACCACTATATGAGTCTTATACTTTTCTGCCCAACCTGCATCCATTACCAAAACCCAGGATTTTTGTGTCCTGGGAAATCATCTCCCAGGACACAGGGCTTTCAGTGCTAAAACCCAAATGGCTGGCCACACTAGGGAGAGGCAGGGGTTATGGGAGATGCTGGCTGCCCAGGAGAGGGGGAGAGATGGTGGTGGAGCAGCAGTTGAGGAGCGAGGTTCCCACACTTCTCAGTCCCAGGACCCTGGGTAAGGTCCCTCTTGGCACTCCCAGGAGGCAGGCCAATGACCCTCACCCAGAGGCTGCTGGAGGATGAAACACATGCAGCGGCCAGCACAGGGCAGCCCATAATCAGGATTTAACACATGGGGTGATTCAGGAGGCACATCAGGAACCAAACTGGCAAAACCAAACTCTGCATCCCTAAGGGCCTGAGCCAACCTTGGGGCCACAAGCCACCCTCCGGCTCTGCATCCCACAAACTACTGATCTGGTCACGTGACAGCCTCCTTTCCAGACCCTGAGCTCCCGGAGGGCAAGGCCAGTGGGACTCACCTCCCCCACCTGGCAAGGAAGGGTTGTCTGTGGGTCAGACCAGCCCTGTCCTTAGGGAGCTCCCAGCCGGGAGAGGGAGACAGGCCGCCACTGCACAGTCCAGTCCTGACATGGGCACGGGAACACGAGAGGGAGTAGGTGAGCAGGAATCAGAACAAGTGGAATTTGAGCGACAACATCATTACAGGTTGGGACTTCGAGAGGCCAAGAAGGGAGGAAGTGGCTTCTAGATGAGGGAAGGGCCCGAGCAGACGCAGAGAGGTTACAAGATGCGGGGAGGGTCTGAGGGCTCCCAGAGGCACACAGCAGGCAGGCCCCCGGGGGCCTCCCCCCAAAGCTCCACAGCCAAGGATACGGACCTGAGACATCGCCCAGGTGCACAGTCAGCCAGCCGAGCAGGGACCGGCCCAGGCCCACCTGCAGCCTGCTGCTCTTCCCCGTCAACAGCTGGCTCGGCCAGCAGGGGTCCCCACCGTGAGGCTGGGCGCCCCACTCTGACCAGAGGTGTGGGAATCAGCCCACCCACTTCTCTCCCACCCACTGCCAGCTATGAAATGGGAACCAAGCTGCCCAAGAGTCAATCACTTTTCTGATGGTTTATTTTATCCACCTTTGGTAACAAATGGCTGCCATCAGCTAAGCTTGCTTTCCGCTCAGCCGACGAAGTCAGTTGGATCTGTCGCAGTACCTGATGTGTAAATTATTAGAAGCTGACTTACGTTGGACCGGCTGCCTCCAGGCGGCACCGGGTTAATCATTGTGTAGATGTTGTCACTGGAATTTGTTGAATCTGTAGAACAGTGGAAACCCGCAAGTCGGGGTGATTAATTCACTTCTTAATTAAAACAAACTCATGGCACTTGAACTCATTCTTTTGTATTTTATCACCTAAAATTTCCTCTAAGTACCACCATTTTCTGGCTAATTTGTATTTAATGAAGATTCACAAAGTTTTTAATTGCAGAAAATTCAACTGTGAAAACCACTCAACCCTGAAAGGAAGGATTTCAGGGTGCCTGGATAGCAATGTGGACATGGCAAAGCCGTCTCCCCCATCGCAAACCAAATCTGGTCCCCAGACACTGCCTGGCAATGCAGGGGCGGCCAGACCACCACCTGCGCTCTCCCCACAACCCCGCCCGGCAGTGTTAGTCAAACTGGGAAAGAGAAACACCACAAGCTGATGGGGCCAGCCTGCCAAGCTGATGGGGCAGGAGAGAGAGGCAGGGATGGTGCTGGAGACGCAGTAACATATGGAGTGGTTTAATGTGACCCAGTCTGAATGTAGGTCATGCAGCTCATAAAAATGCAGCAGCAGAAAGAGGGAACAGGAGCGGGAATATCACGGTCGCCGCCAGATCCACCCCTGCCACTGAGCAGCTTCCCTGCTACGGGGAGCTGAGGGGATGGGAGAGAGGGACTCCTCCGTGTCCCCAATTAGCCAGCAAAGTCTCCTTAGGAAATCAGCTAACATGTTTATATCAGGAGCAGGCATCAGTATTTCTCGGGCAGAGATCCAACTACCTCTCACTTTTTATTTTGGGGGTGGGTAAAGATAGTATGTTGAATTCCTTCTAGTTGACGGTACGCTACTCTTAGCTGGGAAGAAACACAGTTGTGATCTCCTTTTCAGCTTCTAGTGCATACTGTCAGCCTCCTAGAAGTGTATGTGTGTGTGTGTGTGTGTGTGTGTGTGTGTGTGTGTGTGTGTGTGTTGTGATGGTGTGTGTGTGTGTGTGTGTATGTGTGTGTGTGTGTGTCCTCTTCTGATTAAAGAAAAGGGGAAAAGGGATCTTTGATACAGAGGACCAGAAGCCAATAGCTCTAGACACTCAAGAGGCATCACGCTGTAGAGTCCTGGTCCCAGGATGCCAGAACCCAAAAGCCCCTCCTCAGTCATCTAGAGAAATGACAACCAGGACAGGATTCTCTCTGACCAGCGGGAGCCGAAAGCGGTGAGACCCCTTGTTTCCGGATCTCCTTGCTCTGCCCTGTCCTTTCACTGGAGATGAGGAGTGACCCGGCTGAGGCCACATGGCAGGTTGGTGGCACCGGGGCCTCCTGCCCACTAAATCCCTGGTGCCAAGATGCCGGGTGGGGGGCGCAC